TATATATATATATATATATATATATATATATAATATTTATATTATATATTTTTTTTTTTTTGGTAAATTGGACTGTTTATTAAACTGTTTGTTGTTGTTTTGTCGGTAGTAATTTAGAAAAAATTAGACAGCTGTTGAAAACTTGACCAAACTGGATTTTTTAAGCAAATCTAAAAAAAACTGGGCTTTTATATTTGATTTTTTAATTGAATTCAATTTGTGAACCAAACTGTAGTGCTGTAGTGCTTTGGCCTCACAGCAAGAAGGTCGCTGGTTCGAGCCTTAGCTGGCACAGTTGGCGTTTCTGTGAGGAGTTTGCATGTTCTCCCTGCGTTTGCGTGGGGATTTATTTTATTTATGTATCTATAAATTTTTTAATAGTTTATTCTATTTATTTTAATTCATTCATTCATTCATTCATTTTTTTTGGCTTAGTCCCTTTATTAATCCGGGGTCGCCACAGTGGAATGAACCGCTAACTTATCCAGCACGTTTTACGCAGCGGATGCCCTTCCAGCTGCAACCCATCTCTGTAAAACATCCAAACACACTCATTTTAAATCCAACATGTTTCTGTGATCAGCACAATAGGTAACATAAGTTCTTTTACTGTACAACATGCAGGACAAATGACTGTGAAGCAAACACAGTGTGTTCTGTGAACAAAAACAGCTTTTGTTAGCACAAAGCTGAGGTGATTACTCATGTATGTGTCATTTCCACACACTAAAACAGACGTTATTGTGGAAGTTACTTCTTAAACGTTCACCTTAGAAAAGCATATGTGTAAAACTAAGGCTTATAATACTACGGTAAGATTTACCATGCTACATTACGAACACACCATATGTGCAGAGGTGACCGCTGCGGGAGAAAGGAGACACAGTTAAAGAGTGAAACGCACACACTGTCATAAATCACGACGGGCCACAGTCGAGTGTCACGCGTTGTCCCCCCCCACCCCCCGGGACCTCCGAAGATCCATTTTTATCCGCCCTTCCCTCATTTATTTCCCTATCATATCTATGATGTATATTTCGTACCGTCCTTCTGAGAGGGTTTGATAGCTAATTCAGCATGTTTTCATCTTGGGTGCATATGTGTGTGCTGTCATGAGCGGTTTCATTTCATTCCCTGTGTTTTATCACTGCCAAAATATTTGCATTGGCCAATCAGTACCCAGGATCACAACTGACTGCTTTACGAAATGTTTTTACATTGCAGTATTGTCAAGTAGGGCTGGGCGATAAATCAAAACGAATTCACTAATAATAATGATCAAAAAGCTGCACATTAGTAAATCTCCTTCTAAGGCCAGGGGGGGGGAGCTCTTGAGCGTAAACTCTGAACACCCATGAAGAAGAAACCCCAAATGTCCGTATATATTTAACTGCTTTCATTGATTCAGCACGACTACAAATAAACCCAACCTTAAAACATTATGCGATTCTGAGTGTGCCTCAGGGCGAAGCAGTGGCGCAGTGCTGTCGCCTCACACCAAGAAGGTCGCTGGTTCGAGCCTCGGCTCAGTTGGCGTTTCTGTGTGGAGTTTGCATGTTCTCCCTGCCTTTGCGTGGGTTTCCTCCGGGTGCTCCGGTTTCCCCCACAGTCCAAAGACATGCAGTACAGGTCAATTGGGTAGGCTACATTGTCCGTAGTGTATGAGTGTGTGTGTGTGTGAATGTGTGTGTGGATGTTTCCCAGAGATGGGTTGTGGCTGAAAGGGCATCCGCTGCGTAAAAACTCGCTGGATAAGTTGACAGTTCATTCCGCTGTGGTGACCCCAGATTAATAAAGGGACTAAGCCAACAAGAAAATGGAAGAATGAATGAATGAGTGTGCCTCAAGTAGTCGAGTGGGTTTGACAAACCACCTACAGAAAGCACTCTTTCACCTCTCTGTCATCTTAACCAACATTTACCCCAGTTTTGCACCAGACACGATCACTCAACGTCTATAAGAAAAATAATAATAATTAAAAAATGTAATAAAAGTGAAACATTGTGCATTTGTGAAGTGAGCTTCATGCAGGTGAGTGTGCTTGACAAACCTCCTGTAAAAACCCTAAAACTAGGCAAAATTCTAACCCCGGCCACATGCTAACTACATGTAATTATTAATATTACTCAGTAGTTAAATAATTAGTTATGCTGTAACAACGTCGCCTTCAAATAAAGTGTAACTGGATTTATTTCTAAAACCCTGCTCACACTTTTTTGGTCGTCTTAGACAAATTTGAGAAATCCTAAACGCTTTCTGAAATTCTAGTTGAAAATATGTGGTCTTTGATCATTAGTTTAACATGTTGACAGGTGGCTGCTTAATAGGCGTTAGGGGCGTAACTATACACCAATGTGTAATATTTAACAGTAACCAAACACGATACACGTGGTTCTGTAAGGTTCATGGTTTTGGACCCACCCCTGCTGAAAAATCCAGCTTATACCAGCCTAGGATGGTTGGCTGGTTTTAGCTGGTCAACCAGCCTGATTTTAGAGGGGTTTTGGCCACTTGTAGGCTGGTTTCCAAGCCATTTCCAGCCTGGTTTTAGTTGGACAGGCATGGAGATGACCAGCTTTTGATATACACTACCTGACAAAAGTCTTGTCGTCGATTCCACTTTTAAGAGCAACAAATAATACCTTGACTTCTAGTTGATCATTTGGAAAAGTGGCAGAAGGTAGATTTTTCAGGTTGAACTGCATCCCAATCATCACAAATACTGCAGAAGAGCTATTAGAACCTGCATGGACCCAAGATTCTCAGAGAAATCTGTCAAGTTTGGTAAAGGAAAAATCATGGTTTGGGTTTACATTCAGTATGTGGGTGTACGAGAGAGCTGCAGAGTGGATGACAACATTAACAGCCTGGGGTATCAAGACATTTGTGCTGCCCATTACATTACAAACCACAGCCTCCACATCAAAGTTGTTAAAAAGCAAAGAAGGTGCTCCAGGATTGGCCAGACCAGTCACCCGATTGGAACATTATTGAGCATGTCTGGGGTAAGATGAAGTAGGAGGCTTTGAAGATGAATCCAAGCAATCTTGATGAACTCTGGGAGTCCTGCAAGAACGCTTTCTTTGCCATTTCAGATGACTTTATTAATCAGTGATTTGAGTCAGTGCAGAGATGTATGGATGCAGTCCTCCAAGCTCATGATGGAGTCAGACACAATATTCATTCGGTTTCCACTGCAGCATGACTTTATATTTTATACTGGACATTATTTCTGTTAAGTGACAAGACTTGTGTCTAAGCAAAGTCAGACCTTACTGTCCAAATGAAATTATTAAAAATCGAGCATGATCATATTTTATTTTGGTAAAATTAGCTAAATCTAGAGGCCTTTGCCTTTCATATAAGCCACTTCTGATACCAAACGATCAACTAGAAGTCAAGTTATTATTTGTTGTACCTAAAACTTGGATAGACGACAAGACTTTTTACCTCAGAATTCCTTGATACACAGAACACTTCTTGTTATTATTATCAATATTAAAAACAATTGTGCTTGAATATTACCAAACATCCTACTGACCACAAATGTTTTAAAGTATATCATCAGCTCTATCACATTTCGAATCTAGTTGCATTCATGGTGAATGAATCTGCACACAGCTAAAAAAGAGGATTGGGAACGCGGAGAGCGATTTTCGACAGGTTTAATTCCCTCTTGTCGTGTAGCCGTCAGGCGTGAACGTCCTCTGCCGGGGGCTACAAACACTCGGGTGGGTTTGTCATACACATTCATATCGCGTAATTGCATTCAGCCTGACACTTTTACAAGTCGCATAAATCGGAGTGGCGAGAAACTCTTTGGCTTGGGGACGGAAGTGAGTGTGTGTGTGTGTGAATCTAGTTAACAGCAGACACGGGCATGATAAACAAGAGCGCAGAAGTGCTTATGCAGCCCGCCACGGTGAGGAGGGTTTAATGATGAGCCTCTGGGTGCCTATCTTTCCTTCCTCTCTACGCTTTTCTCTTTCTCTCTGCCGCTTCCCTCTCTTCTGTCGAGAGGCTTTGCCATGTGAAACAGAGGCTTTGACAAGTCTGTCTGGCGTCTCGTGGGAAGCGGCTAAATAAAGAAATAATAACAGAGACTGACAACAACACCCACTTGAATTTCATTGTGTTTACTTTCTTTTAGTCTATTTACATTGCCATTCCTAAACTAAGCCGTGTGGATTTCCATATCTGTAATTCGCTGTGTACCCGCAGAGTTCTAGTATTCCCTGTAGCTCAAAAAAATACGGAGGTTTCAGGTAGACGCACGGCTAATTTATCACGCTTCATACCACTGGGACAGGCTAAAAACACATAGAGAGAGAAGAAACCGTCTGTGGATGAAGTATAACCATGAATCACATCAATACTTCAAACGTTTCAAAAAAATAAAGAAATAAAATAAGGAGGAGGTTGCAGATCCCTCCAGTGATGCATGGTTATATTCAGACAGGCAAAGCTATACAACTACAGTTAGTAGGGTAGGGTAGGTAGGTCCAGTATGTGGGTAGGAACAGGTAGGAAAAGTAGATGCATGGTTATATTCAGACAACACTAGACAGCTACAGTAGGTAGGGTAAGGTAGGTAGATACCGTAGGTAGGTAGATAGGTAGGGTAGATGCATGGTTATATTCAGACAATGCTAGATAGCTATGTAGGTAGGGTGGGGTAAGTAGGTACAGTAGGTACAGTAAGTAGGTAGGTACAGGTAGGTAGGGTAGATGCATGGTTATATTCAGACAATGCTAGATAGCTATGTAGGTAGGGTAGGGTAAGTAGGTACAGTAGGTAGGGTAGGTACAGTAAGTAGGTAGGTACAGGTAGGTAGGGTAGATGCATGGTTATATTCAGACAATGCTAGATAGCTATGTAGGTAGGGTAGGGTAAGTAGGTACAGTAGGTAGGGTAGGTACAGTAAGTAGGTAGGTACAGGTAGGTAGGGTAGATGCATGGTTATATTCAGACAATGCTAGATAGCTATGTAGGTAGGGTAGGGTAAGTAGGTACAGTAGGTAGGGTAGGTACAGTAAGTAGGTAGGTACAGGTAGGTAGGGTAGATGCATGGTTATATTCAGACAATGCCAGATAGCTATGTAGGTAGGGTAGGGTAAGTAGGTACAGTAGGTAGGGTAGGTACAGTAAGTAGGTAGGTACAGGTAGGTAGGGTAGATGCATGGTTATATTCAGACAATGCTGTATAGCTACAGTAGGTAGGGGAGGTAGGTACAGTAGGTAGGTAGGTACAGTTAAGTGGGGTAGATGCACTGTATATTCAGACAACACTTGATAGCTACAGTTGGTAGAATAGGTAGATATAGTAGATAGGTGGGTAGGTAGGCAGGTACAGGTAGGTAGGGTAAATGCATGGTTATATTCAGACAATGCTAGATAGCTACAGTAGGTAGGGTAGGGTAGGTAGATACAGTAGGTAGGTAGGTACAGGTAGGTAGGGTAGATGCCTGGTTATATTCAGACAATGCTAAATAGCTACAGTAGGTAGGGTAGGGAAGGTAGATACAGTAGGTAGGTGGGTAAGTAGGAACAGGTAGGTAGAATAAATGCATGGTTATATTCAGACAACACTAGATAGATACAGTAGGTAGGGTAGGGTATATAGGTACAGTAGGTAGGTAGGTACAAGTTGTTAGGGTAGAAGCATGGTTATATTCAGACAACGCTAGTTAGCTACAGTAAGTAGGGTAAAGTAGGTAAATAGGTAGGTAGGTGCAGGTAGGTAGGGTAGATGCATGGTTACTTTCGGACAATGCTAGATAGCTATAGTAGGTAGGGTAGGGTAGGTAGGTGCATGATTATATTCAGAAAAACAAAGCTAGATAGCTACAGTCGGTACTGTAAGGTAGGGTAGGGTAGGGTAGGGTAAGGTAGGGTAGGCTAAGGTAAGTTAGGGTAGGGGATGGAAGAATGGATGAATGGATGGATGGAAAGATAGATAGATGCTGTCTGGGTTTTCACTGTCTATCTACACCACCCTTTCTTCATGTGTTCCAATACTTTTTTCCTTGTCATTTCATTTTATTACACATAACACATTTGTAAACTAATTGGATTTGTTTTCTTTTCATACATGTATTTATGTCATATATATGTTCACGTTTTAACTAACGTGGTTCAAAGGATGGATCTGTGACAGAGCAACTAAGGTTTTGGGAAACACATCTCATAACATCAATCATTTCCCATACAGTGCATCATGCTATGGTAGTTCAGCAGCGAATTATGTAGTTGCTTGAGAAATGCACCCCAGCTCGACAGGCACGAGTCTGTCGACGAGTCCTGAGATTATCCAAAGTATGATTTCCCAAGTCTGCAACTTTTCAACACAAACCAAAAAGCCGTGTCTGTTATCCTCCCGCAGCAGCCGAACAAAATCGGCTCAGGTTCCACCTCTCGTCTTAGCGCACAGGCTTTTCGAACGGCACCTCTGATGGTGTGTGAAGCCGAGAAGAGAACAATTAAATTAAAGTTAGGTAATCCCGCATGCAAATCCTCACACAAGGGCGCTACAAAAGCGATAAAGGGATGAGAAGAAGTGAGAGAGCGACAGAAAGCCGGTCTCTTGTTATCAGTGAGCCCAGGGGCCCGTGAGCGATCACCTCTCTGCCCAGAGCCGATTTGGAGAGACTGTTCAACATAATCTACTCTCTCTGTGGCTCAGCGTGCACGTCTGGCACTGAGGGACGACGCGGCGAAATAAGGGGACATAATTAGCAGATAAAAACGGCCCTGTTTGGATGTCCTCCCAGAGACGCGGCTGTTTGCGTGACCCTGTTTATTTCAAGACTACGATTTACATCAGAGCGTCCCGAAAGCATTCCTCAAGCACCTACAGCTAACGGCCAGTCAGAGGATGTGGTATACAGACACACACTGTAAACACACACACATCATCCTGCAACAGACAAATTCTCTGCAAGAACGGGATTTCTCAACCCAGGCTCATTGGAAATATGGTCCCAGGACTACCCCCGTTCCTTTAATTACTCACTGGACTGGCACTGTGCATGTTAGAATGCATGTCATGCACCAAATCGGTCAACTGGTGGTCAATTCATCAATCATTTCTGTTACACATATCCTACACAGAGTCCGCAGTCTATCAATGGTTGAGTTTTACCCGCCAAAACAAACACACACACAAAAAAATCAGCTGTTTACCTCTTAGTGGGGACTTCATGGCGGCCTCCACCATTCCCACCAGCAGCTGCAGGCTCTTGGGATCCTGCGCCAATCCCGAGGCGAAGGCGGCCAGGGCGTCCGCATGGCGGCCCAGGTACTGAAGGGCAACACCCTGTCGGAAGTACGCCTGAAAGAAAGAGGACCAGAAAGAAAGCACATTAGTATTGGTGTGCTATAAAATGAAGCACTCCCAAATAAACACATCTTGCACATCACACTCATGAAGATTTTTATGGGTGACATTCTTGAAGAAAATACAAAACCAAAGTCGTAACAAAAACCACATCGTAACACTTAGTTAGAGATTAACGATTTCAACAGTGATGTTATTACTGTACTACTGTAAATGATCAAACTGATATCATCTGATGTCCTTGTTGCTGAATTAATATGTTTTTTGTGTTTAGTTGTTTTTTTTTTGTTGTTTTTTTTTGAGTGATTTGTGCGCTTTGCGTTTTATTTTATTTTTATTTTTTTGTTTGCTCCTTGTGGTTTCCTTTTCTTGTCGTGTCATATTGTGTTGGTTCCGTTTTGTTTAGGTCCACGCATCAGTTTTTTCCATTCCAGGTTCCAGTTCAATTTAGTTCAGTTCCAGTTTAGTTCGAGTTCGGTTCAGATATGTTTCAGTTTCAGTTTCAGTTTAGTCAAGTTTAATTTAGTTTAGGTTCCGTTTAGTTCAGTTCCTTTTTGTTGCGTTGCATTGTGTTACGTTGCATTGTGTTGTGTTTTGTTATGTTACATTGCGTTACATAACATTGTGTTGCGTTGCATTGTTTTACATTACATTATGTTACGTTGTGTTACTTTAGATTACGTTTCAGTTCAGTTCCAGTTTATTTGACTTTATTTAGTTTAGGTTCGATTCAGTTTTGTTTTATTTTGGTTTCGTTCTTTTAGGTTTCATTCAGTTCCTTTCTGTTCCTTTTTGTTTCAGTTCAGTTTTGTTTTATTGAACTTCAGTTCAGTTCCAGTTTCCATTTTGTTTATTAGTTTAGTTTAATTTTGGTTCAGTTTTGTTTTGTTTGGTTTCATTTTAGTTTGGTTCAATTAGGCTGTGCAAAGTTCCTATCCATTGCGCTTCATTTTAGTTCAGTTCAGTTCGGTTTAGTTTACTTTAGTTTTGGTTCGGTTCAGTTTTATTTTGTTTAGTTTTAATTTGGTTCGGTTCATTAAGATTCGGTTTAGTTTGTTTCTGTAGCTTTTAAATTAAATTAAATTAAATTAAGTTAAAGTTCAGTTAGAGTTTACTTTTTTTTTCTACTTTACTTTAGGTTCAGTTCAGTTTCGTTTTGTTTCAAGAGTTCACACTTAGCTAATGATTGATTATAAAGCTTGTTTGGCATGCTGTCCCAGGAGAGAGGCCTAAGCTCATTAGATCCTCGAGCCCTGGGCTCCTTCCCATTTTCTAGGTAAGAAGGGAGTTTGAGCTCAAGTAGATCTCGATAACTCCTCTGCTGTAGTAGCTAATGAACAGATAGTGATTGCTCTCAAGAGATAACTACTAAGTAGCAGCATGTCTATGGTGCTGATTTGGATTATTCAATTAACTTAAGTTGTGTGTTTTTGGACGGTGGGAGGAACCTGCGAAACCCGAAGGAAACTCACGTGAACACGAGGAGAATGTGTAAACTTCACACAGAGACGTTGGCTGGTCTGGTAAGGACTCGATTCAGTGACGTTCTTCTGTGGTGTAACAGTGCTAACCACTGGGTCACCGTGCAACCCATCTAGGAAAGGAGGAGGAGTGGAAGGGGGGATTCTTCAAAACGAAGATGGCTGTTATATGGAACTTAGAGTATTTATAGTGGCTTAGGAATCGTCTGATTGGTGAATCATAAATTGAATAATGCCGGTCCAGCTGCAAGCAATCATAAGCATGTGATCCTCTCGAAATTAGTTTATAAATAAACTTCCCTTAGTTTCAGTTTGGTTCGGTTCATTTACATTTCGTTTAGTTCCTATTCATTGCGTTTCATTTCAGTACATTACAGTTTTGTTTAATTTATTTTAAGTTCAGTTCTGTTGCATTACCTTATGCCTGGAGTACAATGATTTCCACAAATATATAACAGAGTACAAGTGCTTTTCACAATGATAATAATAATAAAAGTGTTTCTTTAGCAGTTATTATTCATATCTACTAGATTAATGATTTCTACCGAGTCACGGCAGCTGAAAATTAATTACTGCAATTGATATAAACATATTCGGTTAGAAAACACATACATTATATTTTTTTTCACTCTACTACTATTGTTCCTGTATTTTTCATCAAATAAATTAGCATTCAAGACTACTTTACTTTAATTTAATTAATTTAATTCTTTAAATTATAATTCAATTTAATAATAATTACTTATCCCGATGTTTGTTTTGGTGTACACTTTCCTCTATTCTCTCAACTGTATAAAAAAACCATAAAAGCACAACTTTGACAAACACATTTAGGATGTTTACAGTCTATCCCTCCTGAACTGTAGGTGCTGATATGGAAATCTGACATGCTTGCATTCATGTTTTCAGAGCGGATGCTGGTGGGATGCACACCAGAGCGCTGGACTGTATTAAACATCACAGTAGTTGACGCATAATGTCCTCTCTATATTCACCGTGAGGAACTGATGGACTGATAAACACCATCATTTTCACTGGCGTTTGACAAAAGGGCGAGTGCTACACATATACGGCTCATTCACAATTATTATCTCACACAGCCGTTCATTAGATCAGCCCAAGTGTGTGTGTGTGTGTGTGTGTGCGGCCCACTTCCAGTCGAGCTGATAACGGCTGGGAGGGAGACCAGAGGAAGATTAAGACATGACATTGAATTTATGAAGGCCCCTATAATTAATTTCACTTTGCAAAGGGAGCCCTTTGATTACAGTCTACCTCTCTTTTTCTCTCGTTTTTTTTCGGACAGCTTCATTGAAACGAATGGGGATGCATATTGAATTCAACACATTAACCTTTGGTCTAACCGTGTTATTATAGGACGTCGCAGGCCACCGTGCTTGGCTCGATATTAATTGCCTCTTTGTATACGGCCGAGTGCGCTGCGATTGGATGCGCTCAGGCCGATGTACGTACACAAGCACGTTGAGCGCTCTTAGGTTTCCGACATCAATATCTGCCTGGAGGCAAATGGATTCGGGGGATTTTTCTTTCAGACAGCTGGGATTCAAATCCTATTTCTGTAATGCGATTTTAAAGCAAATGTGTTTTTTTTTTATCTGCAAGCGAGAGCGAAACAAATACGTGATTATTCAACTTAAGCAAACAGCGCACTTGAATTAAATTAACTTGATTAAAGGACAGGCCGGGCCGTGTGTTCAATCTCTCCGCCAAAATCCAAAAGCTCTAATTGATTGATTGTTTTTTTTGTTTTTTATTTGAAAGTTTCTTAAAAATTGTTTAGAAAAGGAGGCAATGCGAAGTTAAAAGACATTTACTCCTAATATCCAGAGATAGGAGGAGAGAAATTGGCTTAAAATGATGGTAATGAAACAGTTTTACAATGAAATAGTTTAACCTAGTAGTCACACGTTATTAGATGTTAATATTAGGTTAGATTTAGGTCGTCAGTGTCTAAGGACAATGTTATTTTGACGTCCAATAATGATGTGAGAAAGTTGCATTAGAAAGTGACCAAAATTCAACGTCGAGCCAACATCTTAAACCAACGTCATATTGGCGTCAAAAACTGACATTTATTCATCAGGTATAGCAAACAAAATCCAATGTCTGATAGCCGATATGTTGGTAAAATTGTCGAGCCAACATCTTAAACTATCTTCATACTGCCGTCAAATACTGACATTTATTCATCAGGTATAGCCAACAAAATCCAACGTCTGATAGACAATATATTGGTAACATCGTCGAGCTAACATCTTAAACCATCGTCATATTGGCATCAAATACTGACATTTATTCATCAGGTATAGCAAACAAAATCCAATGTCTGATAGCCGATACATCGGTAAAATTGTTGAGTCAACATCTTAAACCATCTTCATATTGCTGTCAATTACTGACATTTATTCATCAGGTATAGCAAACAAAATCCAACATCTGATAGACGATATATTGGTAACATCGTTGAGCTAACATCTTAAACCATCGTCATATTGGCGTCAAAGACTAGCATTTATTCATCAGGTATAACAAACAAAATCCGACGTCTGATAGATGATATATCGGTAACATGGTCGAGCCAACATCGGGAACCATCGTCATATTGCCGTCAAATATTAACATTTATTTATCAGGTATAGCAAACAAAATCCAACGTCTAATAGACGATATATCGGTAACATGGTCGAGCCAACATTTTAAACCATCGCCATATTGCCGTCAAATACTGACATTTCTTCATCAGGTATAGCAAACAATTTCCAATGTCTGATGGATGATATATCGGTAACATGGTCGAGCCAACATCTTAAACCATCGCCATATTGCCGTCAAATACTAGCATTTATTCATCACTTATAGCAAACAAAATCCAACATCTGATAGACGATATTTCGGTAACATGGTCGAGCCAACATCTTAAACCATCGTCATATTGCTGTTAAATACTGACATTTATTCATCAGGTATAGCAAACAATTTCCGACGTCTGATAGAAGATATATCGGTAACATGGTCGAGCCAACATCATAAACCATCATCATATTGGCGTCAAATATTAACATTTTTTCATCAGGTATAGCAAACAAAATCCAACGTCTAATAGACGATATATTGGTAACATGGTCAAGCCAACATCGTGAACCATAGTCATATTGGCGTCAAATACTGACATTTATTCATCACGTACAGCAAACAAAATCCAACGTCTAATAGACGATATATTGGTAACATGGTCAAGCCAACATCGTGAACCATCGTCATATTGGCGTCAAATACTGACATTTATTCATCACGTATAGCAAACAAAATCCAATGTCTGATAGACGATATATCAATAAAATGGTCGAGCCAACATCTTAAACCATCGCCATATTGCCGTCAAATACTAACATTTATTCATCAGGTAAAGCAAACAAAATCCAACGTCTGACAGACGATATATAGGTAACATGGTCAAGCCAACATCTTAAACCATAGTCACATTGGTGTCAA